TTATGGTTTAGCAATGGATAAACATAGATTTCTTTATGTTTCTGATCCGAAGAAGCATGAAGTGCGACGATGGAAAATGGATGAATATAACAATGAAGGAATTGTAGTAGCAGGTGGAAATGGAAAAGGAAATCAACTTAATCAACTGAATTATCCAGGTTTTGTCTTTGTTGATGAAGAACAATCTGTTTATGTATTAGATTTTCACAATAATCGTGTGATGAAATGGAGAAAAGGTGCAAAAGCAGGAAGAATTGTGGCTGGAGGAAATGGTCAAGGAGGAAATCTCAACCAATTATCTTATCCTACAGGAGTAATTGTTGATGATTTGGGTCAAATCTATGTAGCAGATTGGGGGAATCATCGGGTAATGCGTTGGTGTGAAGGAAAAGAACAAGGTGAAATTGTTGTTGATGGAAATGGCAAAGGAAATCAATTGGATGGTCCCCGTGGTTTATCTTTCGATGATGAAGGAAATCTTTATGTTGCTGATTGTTGTAATCATCGCATTGAAAAGTTTGAAATAATCTTGTGAATGAAATGTTTTTGTTAAATAAAAAATCGAGAAATAAAAATAAAAGAAAAAATAAAGTTTTATTATTGAAAATGAATGCAAAAGGCCGAATAGAATTTGAAGAAATAGAAATGTATTGATAAGAAAAGAACGAGAAAAAATCTTTTTAGTTGTTTTTCCTTCAAAACTGAATTTAATTTGATCATTCTAACTAAAAAAATCCAGAAAATATTTTGTAATTTGAATTGAACTGAAATAACAAATTATTTAAAAAGACGATTTTATTTTTGATAAAATTCTATTTGAACATTTTTGTTTGATGAAACTTAAGAATTGTTCTAAATTGAAAAGAAAAAAACTGTTTCACGAAAAACTGATAATAAAAATCGAATTAAAATTTATCGAACGAAACAAATGTTGGGTAGATTCTTCTTCGATAAATTAACAAATTCTATCATTTTCCAATTTTATTTTTAAAGTATTTTTAATCAAAATTGAATTGAAAAAATGATCTGTTGAAATAAATCAAAGAGCACTTTTGTATAGATGAAAAGAAAAAAGAAAAGAATTTCAAAAGGAAAATGAACCAAAAATTTGAAATTAAATGAAAAAATAATAAAAGTTTTTAATTGATACAAAATTCCAATTAGATTTTTCATTTCGAAGATTTTTGATGCATTCAAAATTTTCTTCATTACAATTTTAAATGGAAAGATTCAACATTTTCTTTATTTTGATCGTTGAAGGAAAACCATCTTGAGGGTGTGGATGTGGTTGTGTGTTACACTACTACTTATACCCACATTCACCTACCTCTCGAGTTTTTTCCAACCATTTATCATAAAGAACACCATAGAACGAAGTTTTTTTGTTGGTTTCTTTCATTCTTATATTACGTCTAATAAGATACTTCTACTTTCCTTTTTTTATTTGCCATTAATATCGTTATCTGTTTTATGCTTTTCTTTTATGTTTCTACGACAAAAGAGACTGATAAAAAATATTATTCAATTCGGAGAAAAAGTGAAATGAGTAGAATAGAAGTA